AGAGAGAGAGAGAGGCCTAAACCATGGAGGGTGAGGGGTTTACCGCAAAATGAGAGAGAGGAACAAAAACCCTTCGTCCCCAGCACGCCTTTCAGATACGAGACGGCGCGGGTCGAGAATATGTTTACAGACTGCTATTTTTAAATAAATCGGATACAAAATAGTGAAAATACGGATTGGCAAAAATACTTCATAAAGATATCGCTAATATATCTGATTAGGCTAAAAAAAAAAAAGGTGAAAGATATCGCTAATATATCGGATTAGGCTAAAAATAGGTGAAGTAAAAAAAATAAATTTATAATATTAAAAATTTTAAAATTTTAAAAAATAAAAATTATGTCAAAGTCATCAATTACTTATTCATATATATAAACTTTACTAAACTAATATAATTAAGTCAATTAATTTAGATACCCCGTGACTCTTATCTAATCATCCAATATTAAATACATAATTAACTAATACATACCAAAAATACGTGCCATATAAATCTACCTGTTAAATGCTTTAAGAAGAGTAATGATGTCATGCAACTGTTGTATTATAATATGAAGCAACAACCTTAAAAATCTATCCTATAGCTATTTGTTTCATCCAAATTTTGAAATATACACTCTTTTCATTCTAGTGAACAATCACAAAAAAGGGAAAAAATTCAAAACATAACCTAGAAAGTTTTTTTTTAGCCCAATTAACATAGGCCGTTATTTTGGTGAGATGCTTTGATCTAGACCTTAGAAGGATTTTTTCAATTTTTTTAGATGGCTTTAATATCATTAGATGAACAATGTTAAAAAAAAAAAAAAAGTTTTTGAGTTTACAAAGGCTAAGATCTTGAAATTCACAAAATGAATGGTCTAGATTCGTTTTTACAGATGACTCATTTTGGCTATATCTAGAGTTCAAATTAAACTTTTGTTTTTTGGAGATTGATTATTGAGATGAAAGAGTGTGTGTGTAAAATTTGAGGTCATACAAATACTACAAACATGATTTTTTAGAAGTGTCGTTGCATTATACTATAATACAATCGTTGCACTCGATCATTGCTCCTTTAAACTATGATACTACTATACAACTGTTGCATGAAATCATTCCCCAATACTTAATAGCAATGATTTAATGCAACAGTTGCATCATAGTATAATGCAAAGACACTTCAAAAAAACCATGTTTGTGGTATTTGTATGACCCCAAATTTTGCACACACTCTCTCTTCATCTCAATAAACAATCCCAAAAAAAGAAAAAAAAAAGTTCAATTTGAACCCTAAATATGGTCAAAATGAGTCCCATCCAAAAACGAATCTAGACCATTCATTTTGTGAATTTCAAGATCTTAGCTTTATAAACTCAAAATCATTTTTTTATTTTTAATATTGTTCATCTAATGATAATAAAACCATCTAAAAAAATTGGAAATGAAAAAATCATTTTAAGGCCTAGATCTAAAAATCTCACCAAAATGAACGCCCTATGTTAATTGAGCTAAAAAAATACTTTCTAGGTTGTGTTTTCAAAATTTTATTTTTTGTGATTGTTCATTAGAATTAAAAGAGTGTATATTTCAAATTTTGGATAAACAAATGGCCATAGATAGTTTTTTAAGGTTATTGCATCATATTACTATATAACGGTTGCGTAAAATCATTGTCCAATACTTAAACATATCACCTACTTAGCAGGTACCCAAAAAAATACACGACTATAGTCATTCCATAACTATAGTTAAAGTTTTATAAATTTCTTTAATTCAAAAGAGGCTTGTAGAAATTTGGGTTTCACATAAGTGCTTACGGTTTAGAGAGAGAAGAACGAAGGAAGAGAAAAAGATAGGGCTGGGCTCATTGCCATTAAGGTTTATTGAGAGAAGAGGCACTGATTTTTAGAGAGATAAAAGGAAGAACCCTAATGGAAGAAGCTTTAATTTCAGAGAGAGAAAAGGAAGAATCATAATGGAAGAGCCCTAACTGATATTTGATAGAGAAAAAGAAGATGGGATGCTGATTTGGGATAGTTTTTACGGGGTTTTCATTTTTTTGGCGAAACAGCACGAAGAGTTGAAGGATTAAATTTGGGGAACTTATCGTATATGTACAATTGCTTGTTCTAGTAAGTATACATTTTACACAATCAAAAACAAAATATTGATTACTTGGTCTTGTAGCTACACTCTTTGTTGCTCATTCATCAGTAAAAGACTATGTTTTGAACTCTAATTTGTGCCATAAACAGTATTTTTAGAAAACAATTATCACAAATAATCACAGAAATCAGCATGTATACGATTTCCTTACACAATGATTTACTTTACAAAATGATTTGCTATAAACAGTATTTCATTTACACAATGATTTTCTAGAATAACAATTGAAATCTGCATCTATCTGCTTAAGTTTTTTTAAAAAAATCATACCATCAATCTGCAACTATGGCTTTGAAGAAGACAATGGAGATAAAAGTTTCTACTTTAATTTTTTTAAAATAAATTTTTTTTTTCAAAAGCATGATAGTAGCAATGGCTGCAATACACACACACAAAAAAAAAAACTTTCAAAAAAAAAAGAAGGTAAAAAAGGATACAATTTTTTTTCATGATTTAAATCGTATTATGAAAAAAGAACGTTGTAAATGGTTTTATGAAAACGATGCGATTTTTTGCCGACCTTTTCAAAAAGTCGTCGTTTAAAACTGTTTCCATAAAAATGCCAAATTTTTTAAAAAATCACCTATTAATGGGCGATTTGCTAACTATCCTCCTAACTCATCAAAATTGTAATTTAAGTGCTGAAAAACTCTTAAATCGATCATGTCTACTTGAACATTATGGTTGTGAAAAAAAAAAGATTTCAAGTTCTAAAAATAGTGTATATTGCAACACCTCGTTTTAGACTATTTATTTCACCCTACAATTACTATACTATTTTTTTAGTTTTAAATTTTATTGTCGGTGTTGAAAATTTATTTTAGATAATCATGAAGATTTTCGATGCCCTAAGTGTTTTCTGGATGAAGATTTGAGATGAGACTTTATTTTGTTTTCATAAAGCCTGGCACCTACAGAAACTTCATCATTTTTTTATAGGATTATCAGGGGTGGCAATGGAACTAACCTAACCCGGGCCAAATAGGTTGGGTCCGACTCCAAAACTGGGATCTAAACATTATTCGGATTCAGGGCCAGCTGAACCTGACCCGTACCTGTAAACCTTTGGAGATTAAATACTTTATTTTAAACCCTATTCGTTTGGGTGTATTAAGGATTGTATACAATAAGAACTCGTAACCATCTTTAGCTATTAAATGGCAAATCTGAAGGCTTGAATTCTAATAGCAGGTGCTTGCGACCTTGTTGCCAATAATATGGGTATATGATGATAAAAAAAAAGGCAAAAAAAAGAAGAAGCTCATAATCATAACGTGTCAATGGACCCGACCGACCCGAGACCTGATGGGTACTGGTATGAGTCCAATTTTTGGAACCGATAGGTCGGGCCCAAGTCCAAAACTTGGACCCAAATACTATTCGAATCTGAATCTTGTCCGGGTCCAACCGGATCTAGCCAGCACCTACCCAGTGCCACCCTTAGCGATTAAATACTATGAGATCATTTATTCTTGGTACAAAGATGTTTCAATCATTTTTAGCCATTAGAGGTAAAATCCAATAAAAAGTATCACAATATTAGAAAAATTTTATTTTAGACTTCGTGCACAAACAATGACACATCCTCACCCACCAGATTTCAAATATATCTGTCAATAATAGTTGTGACCTCTTTGTATCAAAAAATAAATGGTTTCGTGTTATATATTTCTTTTATTTTATGCCATTTTGGAATAAAATCTATGTATAAAATCTATAAAATCTATGTATATTTTCATAAAATCAAATTAGTTTTAAAAAAAATAAATTTGATTACTTTGATACTATATTGCATCGACTATTTAGCATTTTACTCATTTTTAACTATTCCACCTCATGATAATATATAATTGGGAAATTTATCAAAATACCATAAGAGATGAATGATTCACTTATATCTTTTGATTTACTTTCAATATAGCTACCTCCAAAATACATGAAGATAAATTGGAACAATTGCTAAAAGGATAAAATACTCATAGTTTATCTGTTACGGGTATTTTGATAAATGTATAGATAATTTTTTTCTATACATTATTATGATTTAATTGAATTAAATCATAATAAATGGATAGAATATTAAATAGTTAATCAGTGAAACATATTTTGAGAAATTTCCAAAATTGAATAATCTTTGTTCAATCCCCACGATTTTGTTTTTATGGTTAGATGAAGCACATAATTTTCGGCATTAGCTAGTAGTTAGAGGAAATGCATCCCATAAAATATTGATCCTCAAGTGCGAATCAGTATTTACATCTTCAAACGACATTGTAGCTTAATTTTAATATTTTAACTAATTTTGTTTTAACTAATACTTGGAAAATGAAAAGAATGAACATCTAAGGTCGAGACCTGAGAGAAACCCAGGCCATCCCACCTGTTCATGGCCCAAGATCTGAGTTTTTTACTTGGATTTCAGCCTTATTCCATGCCAAATTCGACTTTAAGATCAACTTCATCGACTTTCAGCCTATTTTCAGTTATTATTTTGTGGAACTCATGCAACTCCAGCCTCTAAGACAATAGGTTCAGATGTGATCTTCGAATGAATTATGCATAGTTTAGATGAACACATCCATTTTCACTGATGGCTCAGATGTCCTTTGATTTTCTGAATCGAAGATCGACAGGCTCAAAGCTCGAAAATTTTATTTCATTTTGTAAATGTTGAGATTCCATAGATAATCACAGAAAACAAATGGGTATCGTAGTTCAACCGTCAGAGCTCACCATCTGTGTAATTTGGGAAGGTAACACACTTGAAAACTTTGCACTGTGAGCATAACACAACACCAATCTGCAAAAAAAAAATTAAATATAAAAAGGAAACTCCCAACTTAATCAAACAGTCTGAATTCAAGAAGAGTTAAATGAATTTCAATGAATAATAGCTCTCATTTCCAATTGAAGAAATGGACTTACAGCTCTACAAGATGGGCAACGCCGATATATTCGGTTGTTAGATGCCGTCACATTGGTCTTTTGTCCTTGACAAAAATTACAAACCAGCCAACCTCTACCCTGACAGGGAGTGCACATAATTGCTTGTTCCTAATCAGTAAAAACAAAGAGATTTATACACACATATATCTCTGGATACTAATGAATTACGATAAAACTAAGAGACTTATACACACATATATCTCTGGATACTAATGAATTAGGAAAAATTGAAAAACAAATGATTATTCTTTTTTTTTCTTATTGTTGCTTATAAGATGGGATTTTGCAGAAGTGCAATGCATTGGTGTTTATGATAGAACAAGGAGAGAGTATCTTCTATCCATTCCTCAATACCATTTACGCAGAGAATGGAGAAAGTATCATTTATTTGGGTTGGTGAAATATTTTTGTTGTGCTTCCCTACAACTTCAAGAAACAGAGTTACCAAATTGAACTCCAGGTTCAAGAACTAAGGAGACTTTACTGATTCCACTGTGCAAGTAGAGACTCTAATCATGGAGCAAAAACCAGGCCAAGAACTAGGTGGGTAGTTTGTTACCAAATGACGAAAGCAGCGTTTGCAACCCCTCAGGGTCCTGAGACTGAAGTTCCCCCAGTCTGACTAGGGCGACTTCAAGTTGGACGAGGAAACTTTTAATAAGAAAAAATAAGGCAAAAAAAAGAACTATGGGAGACAGGTGATTCCAGTATCTTTTCAGCCCAGAGTTGCCTGGATCCCTAGTCAGTCCAACTCAGGCAAGTTCAGAGTTAGACGGGTTATTTTTTAAACATTGATGTTAAGAGATTCTAATTGCTAAAGCACACAGTTCCTTAGAAGATGGAAACTATACAAAAGTAGTCCAAGACAGTAAAATTTTTTAAGAGAGAGATGCCCACTTCATAACTGATCCTAATCAGCTTCTTGGTTGATAAATAAAACAAAACACAACTCCAATAAGGTAATTAAACAATACACATCTGCTTGTCTGATTTCCCCACAAAGTTAAATTTGCAGATAGGACTCATATATTAAATGTTTGAGATCAATAAAGAATAAAACTTATATAACCTTGACAAAACCAGGTCCAAGAATAAGATAGGAAAGCTATGAATTGAATAGAGATGGGGTTATTGAAAGTAGGAGATAAATATATTGAGATCAAAAGCGCCTACTCTAGCATCAGACTCACACAAGCATGTACCCATGGCAAAGGAAAAGCTAAGAAGCAAGAAGCAATATCTTAACAGAACTTGGGATCTCAGATATCCAATTGTTTATGCTTAATTCTACAATATTTACAATCAGAGAATAAATAATTCTTTCAGTATGATTCCAATTGCAGAACTTGAGATTCTTGTCAACTCAGCTGTTATCACTTCATATCTCATCAACAACATCAATTAAATTCTATGTTAATAGTTCATTATCATAGGTGTCTAGTTTGAAATTCTCTGCAATGCTGATCCAAATACAAGGTATTCCATGATATAAATTTGCTAATAAGCAAGAATAGCTCTCAAAAGACAGAACCTCTAGACTAATATAATATGGCATACTACCCTTTCATTCAAACTTTGATCAATTCTATAAATTGTCCAGTAACTCAGCAAAGGGCTGCCCAAGCAGAGTAACTCTGGCAAGTCCAAGTGGACTGGCCCGAGTTGAGCCTAAGAAGGGCTACAAATTGCAAAATAAAAATTTAAAATATTTGTTAAGCAAAATCGTTATAGAAAGCATGGAAAAGTTTGAACAAGGCATATGGAGGATGGAATATGGAAGAAGATTTATTTATAACTTGAAGCACATAAAAAAGATCCTAAAAAAGGAAAAATAAAATAATGAGAATATAATAAGAAAAATTCAAAAAATCACCCTCAGAAAATAAGAGTTGAACAGAAATATATTTTCTACATCATTTTTTAGAGATTTAGTAACAAAAATGAATAGAAATAAACAACTTTTGTAAACCCAGTTTTGTACACCAAAATGACCTCAGTCAAATGAACGCAACCGAAACCCTCAAACATTGATTCTATATTGTCTCAATCCTCAATTGAGAGTCACCCATTAATCCGACAATCCATGAAAAATATGTTCGTCCCGATACTTCAAAGTTTAAGAAAAAAAGTGAAATGGGTTTTTGTTCACAGCAAATTCAATTGAATTATGGCAATAAGCATCAAAATACTTTCTGGAAAGACTGATAACCAGTGAAGCATGCAAACTTGAGCCTGGAAAAAGGAAATAACCTGTGGAGCGTGCAACCTTGAACTTTTCAAAGCAATACCTGTTTTTGGGTGGGAGTACAAGAAGCAATTGGGAGATCTCTCTTTAGTCCTGAGTTTGGAGATGAGATTGTGAAAATTTGGTGAACAAAAGGCAATGAAAAAGCCATTCTCGCTTACTCACTCTCAGAGCTTGCTTGATTACTCAAATCCTATGAGGGATAAGGTCTCTCTCTCACACGCTATTTCAGACCTTGCTTGGTTACTGAAATCCTACAGCGGATAAGGGCCATTAGAATTTGTAAAGTAAGGGATACCCATGTAAGATTCTCTAAAAGCAGTGGCATTTTGGGAGAGAGACCTAAATCAGGTGGCCTATTTATATTCATTATCTATTGCCACCCCACTCTTATATTTTTTTCTCTCTCTAACAGGAGGTATTGATAAAACCCTCCAAAACCTGGTGGGAGAGAGATGGTATAGAGTAGAGAGAGAAACATCTTTAGAAGCTCCACTGCTTTGGCTGCTCTTCGAGATTTTAGATCTCATAACGTTTGGCGCTTTGATGACCATTCGATTCCCTGCAAAAATCAAAATGAAGGAATTTCCATGATAAAGGCCAGTTTTCTTTTTCTCCTTCTACTTAGTGTTGCTTCTAATCTCTAAATCTCTTATTCAATTAGTCAATATTCGAAATCTAGGTAGCCTTAACTCTTTAAGTGCAGTGTTCTCATGCTTTCTCTCTCTCTCTAAATTGTTTTTGTTTTTCTATTTAGTACGACTCTATTCCCCAAATTATGCAGTAGCCCAAAGCTCTCTCTCTCTCTCTATCTCCATTTCCTGCCCAAATAAATCAGACCCATAAGCCAAAACCTCTACTTGTCTCTCTAAACTTCATTTCCAGCCCATATAAATCCGACCCATAACCCAAAAACACACGCTCTCTCTCTCTCTCGCCTTCATCTCCTTCGAAAAAAAACTCAGACCCATAAGCCCGAAAACTATAATTCTCTCTCTAACCTTCATTTCCTGCCCAAATAAATCAGACCCATATACCCAATAAACTCCATTTCCTGCCCAAATAAATCCCACCCATGTACCCAATAAACTCCATTTCTCACGTCTCCTCAATGCCAAGCCGAAGAACGATTATCTCTCTACTCGCCTTTACCCTCTTTCTCTCTCTAAAACCATCTTACTCAAAACGTCTATTCAGTAATCTGGAGTCTTTAGAGGACCACGACATATGTGACCACAAAAACTTACCGGCGTCTCACGATCTCCGGGGAGACCAATTGACGCTTCTGATCAGCGGATTCTCGGAGACCCGGCTCCCCCTCATCCGTCAGATCGCCGCGGCATACTCATCACTGCCGTCCATTTTTGAGATCTTCATCATCTGGGGCAACACATCCACACCGTCCGATTTCTTCAGATTCCAGAATTTTGAATCGCTAGGTGCCCCGATCTCTGTCATAAGGGACCCACACCTCAGCCTCAACCTCCGATTCTCGCCACGTGGAATTATCCGCACTCGAGCTGTCGCCACGTGTGATGACGACGTCCTAGTGGACCCTGCGTCCGTACATCTGGCGTTTAGGGTGTGGCAGAGGAACCCCGAAAAATTAGTGGGGTTTTTCGCGAGATCTCACTCGTACGATATTTCGTCGAAATCTTGGATCTACACGGTGGACCCGGCGAAATTTTCGATGGTATTGACGAAATTTATGATTCTTTCGATCGAGTACCTCTTCGAATACAGCTGCAAAATTCCGGCGAGGGCAAGGGGTGTGGTGGATGAGTGGAGGAACTGTGAGGACATTTTGATGAATTTTGTAGTTTCGTCGGGGGCAAGATCGGGACCAATTTTGGTGGAGGGCAAAGCCAGGGATTGGGGCGATGCGAGGAATGAGGGTGGTGTAGGGAGAGAAGTGGGGTTGAGTATGAGAAATGTGGAGCATAGAAAGAGGAGGGGGTTGTGTATAGAGGAGTTTCATAGGATATTGGGGAGGATGCCCCTTAGATATAGTTATGGGAGGGTGGTGGGTGGTGTAGGGGAGCAGGGGATGTGCGAGAAAGGGGGCGACTTGGTATTGTGTGATCAGGAGTTGGGAGGATGATTGAGTGGAATGGAATTTTTTTGTTGTTTTGATATACTCCCTAATCCTCCTGGCTTCATGATTTTACTTGCCTAATTCTATTTTGGTCGGGAAACTACTGCTCCTGCTCCTGCTCCTGCTGGTTAATGGAAACGTTAGCTGTGTACCTTTACCACAAGGAGATTAAAAAAAATTTAACTTTTCAGCTAATCAATGACCTTCTTACAACCATGTGGTTTTTGAAATATAATGCGATTATTTGTTTTTATTTTTTAAAAAAATATTAAACTTTGAAGCTGGTTAACGACGCACTTATAACCCATGTGGTTTTTTGTGACTACCTTGTACAAAAAACAAATAATCTCTTTACAAATGTTTGTGTATTTATTTTTTATACAAATAAGTCATAATTATTGTTGATCGTTAGATTTAAAATCGAGTGGTTGAAGATGAATCATTGTCTAGGCACAAAGTCCACAACATTATGTTCCGGTGAGTTTGGATTAGGTCGACCACGACCCCCGATCCGAATTTTACTCCAGTCTACGCTTTAGACCCAGATCTGACCCATCGGGTCCAAAACTTAAACCCAAACCCAAACCCATATGCAAATCTGGTCGACCCAGCTAGATTACCATCCCTACTTGAGTAATCAAAGTAAAGCGTACCTCAATATAAAGTCTCAGTCTTTATCAAAGAAAAACACACCTCCAAATTTTGTTAAAAAATATACTTGTTGTCAAAATATATAGTTGTGGTGTTCGAAATTTTTCATATCGTTTGAAACATTATTTTTACCTTTAATTATGAAATTTATACTTCTAAAAATTGTGTAGATTGAAAAGATTCATAAAAACTTAAAAATCTTGAAAATAGATAGTTCATGTTCATTATTTCTCTTGATATGTTTTTTTTTTTTTTTCTTTTTTTCCGTATAATACATTTTGAGGTTAAAATAATCAATTGGGGGGTTTTACAGCATTGAAACAATCTCATTTAATAAATTTATTAAGTGCACCTTTTTTTAAGAAGTACCTTATTAAGAAATTGGTGAACCAACTTAGGATGAGTCGGCTCGTGCAGAGAAAGACAGATGCTACAATACCGTAATAATCCGCTTCTTAAATAGTATATCAATATCATACTAACCCATGACTCACAATAAAATAGAAAGAAAAGAATAACTATAATAAGGTGGAAAAAAAACATTCATTAAAAAAAAAACATCAAGTACACCAAGACATTACAATATTGACATCTAAGATTAACCTTAATGTATGTAACTAAAAGTACATAAAGACATTATAATCTTTACATCCAATATTAACCTTAAAACATGTGATCCAGTTTTCTTACCACACACTTCTCTTTAAATAGAGATTTTTACTGACCATATTTCCTATAATAATTACCCATTACAACAATGACTACTAACCACTTAATAGTTTTATTTCTTCTTATTACACAAACTTACAAGTGCAACCTTACTACATCACTCATGATAAAATGATATAAAAACTAATATACTTTCTAGAAATATACTTTAACAATTTTAACATTATCCATTTTCATCTTTAATTATAAAATTTTAAACTTAAAAAATAACTCAAATCAAGTAGATATGTAAACACATAAAATTCTTGAAAAATCGACGGTCCAGATAATGTGTTTTTAAAACTCGAGATCCTTTTTTTTCATACTCTTACATTTCGAGGACGAGAAGATCAGTATCTCAAGTCTTAAAATTAATAGATCTTGTAACAACTTACCTAATTATCTATTTTTAATATTTCCAAGTATTATTATTTTTTAATTTTATGATTAGAAATAAAAATAGATTTCGGGATATGCTTCTCAAGACAAATTTTATGTGTGTCATCCTTTGTCTTTTGCTATTCACAAAGGAATTTGGGGCCACGTGGAGGCCTCTCCTGTCATTTTCAAAGTTGATTAGACTAAATAAAATAAACAGGGGAAAAAGTGATTGAGATTATGCAAATCACTTAACGAAACATAATCCACATCTAACAAAATATAATCCAAGTCTAAGAGCTTTCTTCTGGAGAGATCCAGAGAATACAGTTGTTTTTGTTTTCTCTCTCTATAAGGGCACTCCAAAAGCCCACCCCGGAATCCGTTACAGAGTTAGAGAGAGAAAGCTTCCAGAGCTCGAGGGTAGAGATTCCCTAGTGAAAGAGATTCTAGAGGGAGGGGGAGGCTTGGAGAAGCTTATTTGTCTGCAATTTTGGTGCTTCTAGGGTTTCTTTGCAGTTCGGAGTTTGGTTGCCTGCTTTTCTGGTGTAAGGATTCTGGCTTTTTCTTTTGCCAGTTGTGTCGATAGAATGGACGGATTTTTTACTGGAAAGATGAAAAGAAAGGAACTGGAAGAAGTTTATGATGATTTCTCCGATTTTTCTCTCTCTTCTCCTGGAAGGAAAATTAGGCGACTGGTATGTCCTTTCATATAATAATGAATTTTCGTTACTTGTTGTTATTTTATTGTATTTTGCATGATATTTTGGAGTTGGATGAGAATAATTGGTTTTTCCCTATTTGATTATGTTATTAGGGTTTCATTGCCTTTGTAAATTTCCCCCTTTCTCTGCTGTGATTTAGTATTTTTTGGGAATTGTTTGATTAAAAGATACTGTTTAATCATGTTTTAGGTTTTTTTTTTTTTAAGAAAGCTGACATTTTCAGTTGATGAACTATAAATTGGTGTTTACTGGGATAGGTAAAGGGATCATAATTTCCGATTACATTATTAGGTTTAGATGGTGGTATTGGTTTCAATGGGTTCTGTTGTTTTTTTTTTTGAGGTTTTTGCAAGATCAGAAAATAATAAATATATTCTATTGGGTTAATATAGACTTTTCTATAGACATTTGTTTTTTGGCCAATTGGCTTTATTATCATTCTGGCTTTTTCAAATTATCATTATAATTCAATGTATATAAGCTGAAGCATCAGCTAGTGGTTCTAAAATTTGCTAAATGGACATGAAATATTATTTTTTCTTTTTACCAAGTAATTAAATCTTTGTTTTTATGCATATGAGCTGTTTTCATTGTGTGCAAATCATCTGGAGTTTTAATTGGATGAATGGAATATACAGGTTTTTCGTTAGCAAGCAGTTGGCTGTTGTCTTTTGGTATCCCTTAACTCGTTTCCTGGTTGAAATAAATGATGAAAAATTTAGCCACCCACCAAGAAAAAACAAGAATAATAAATTATGAAATGTTTTGGGTTCTCTCTTTAATGTGTTGAAAGAAGCTGATTATATTCACTTTATTTATAGGAATCAAGTGGACTGGGATGTGAACTTGTATTCTCAAAGTAACCCAAAATAATTTATTGATGTTTGCTTCTTCCATTTGTTTAGCCTTTATTAATGAAACAAAGTTTGCTGACAGTTAAATCAAACTTCGTGATAATTTAAAGAAATAATCCATTTTGAGATAACATTTAACAAGGTTCAATTGTGAAAACGACTTTAAAAAAATTGTGTTTTTGAAGAAAACAAAAATTACTGTATTAAACCATTTTTTAAAAAAAGGTTTTCGGAGAATATTTACATTTAATTTTTTTTAGACATGCTAATGGGGTAAGAATGGAATGCTTTTTTGTTTTTCTTCCCTTCTTTGCATGTCAATGGGTAATGGGTAGGAGGGGTACAATATTTTTTTTTATATATATATCCCTTGTCAGTTTTGTCAATTTACTACAAGGTTTCAAAAAACACTAGGCGGCTTGCCCAGCACCTAGGCGAGCGCCCCATAATTTAAAAAAAACGAAAAACGCCTGGCCCGCCTAGGCGTCCGCCCAAGTACATCCGCCCATGTAGGGCTGCCTAGAGCCTGGGTCTAGGCGGGCAGATTTTTGGTCCAGGCCGCCTAGACGGGCGCCTAGGCACCAGGCGGACCGCTTTTTAAAACATTGATTTACTATGAGATATACCCCCCTTTGAGCAACTACAAGGTATTAATATCGGTTGGTTAGTAATTCAATAATTAGATTGCGAACTGAAATTCTATTTTTTTTCAAAAGTTATATTAAGTGTCCTCCCGATATATATACACAAAAGGAACTTGAGTCAAATCTTGGGGCTCCATTTTCTTCTTCCCTGTCTTGAATCTCTGTGGTTTGGACTAAGCTGAAATGATGCCGACTATTTGGTTTGCTGATATGCTGCCATTACATGAATTGCTAACAATGAGTCTACTGTCTTGATTTATAGGATGCGGAATTACCTCCAATTATGGAAGAACCCAATTTCCCGTCATTCTTTGAAGAGCAAGTACCAGAAGAGCATTTTTTGGACCTGAAAGACCGTATTGAACAACTGCCAACAGGGCCTATAGATGTTGGGTCTCCTGTTTCTGTGAATGAGGAAAGAGCCCTTGTTCTTTACAAGCCACTGGGGTCACCTGGTGTCTCTTTCAGAGTAAATCCTTTTCTCCTTCCAGCTTTGAGAAGTAAGTATCCTCCTGTGCTTCTCAATTATTACTTTTTCCCTCTCTTTTTTTTTTAAACAAAAAAAAACTAGTGTTTTCTTTGCTTTTGTGGTTGGTGTGTATGTTCCATCTTATGTACATTGGTGCTTCTATTGAGAGAGAGAGAGAGAGAAGAGAGAGATGTGCTTGATCTTTACATGAATTGGGTATCAGCTAATAAATCTGGTCCAAATGAATAGCCGAGTTGCTATTAGATTTACTGGCATTCATCTAGTTTGCATAAACACAGTATATGACATGACACGTGCGGTGCAAAAACTAGACAATGAAGCAGTCCTTTCGTTTGTTTTTGTGCCTGGATATATATGGTTATCCCAAATAAGAATGGCACTTGACTTTGGTCATACAAAAATACTAGTATTTTCTAGTTTTTAATTTTTCCCTTGCTTAGAATAAATCGTGTGTTTAAGATCACCTGTATTCATTACATGACTTACGTGCTTCATTACATTTCCTCTATCGATCTGATTCATTACATCTATAATATCAAGCATCATCTGTCATAGAATTCTACTATACTAATATTCTTAATTTTGTATAGTACACTGTATGTATGAGTAATAAAAAACATTACTGTTTGTTCTATTAGTGATACAATATTTATGTTGCATTCTCTCTGTATACCAGATAAAATGCTGTGGCTTGAATCTTCCGATGGCAAAATATCCAATGAAACAACACCAAAATCATCAAGTGAAACTCCATTAGCTTGCAACAATAGCAAAAATTTGGCTGTCGTACCATGGGTTCCATCTCAATTATCCGTCTTAGAAAATGGAAGGGATTTGGCGATTGAAGACTCGATGTTTGAACCTATGGTTCAAGATGTAGAAATGGGTACCGCAATGGAGGAAGACTTAGATGATACTGAGCAACAAAGACTAGCAAGGACATCGGTGGCAACTGAGCCACAAGCAGCGGTTGGTGTGATGGGAGGTGCTGATGCTCTGCAATGGCAGCAGCATTGCATGACCACTCCCCAACAACCTCCCGGTTCTACTCCCATTATGTGGTCTTGGTAGAGCATTCTCTTTCCTCTCTCTCTCTACTGGTTTTCTTTTGTGAGAGTTTTGGTGAAAAGAGGAATGGAAGCTTTTGGATTAGGGAATTGATGGGCAAGTTCTCTCTCTCTCTCTCTCTCTGCATGATGGATCCTGTGGGAAAATTCTTGTTTTGGAAGAGGCCCATTTGAGAGCTTATGCGAAATATCACAGGGATTTTGTATATGCAAAAACTTGGGTTGGTATGTGATTAGACATGTTTGTAGCTGTGAATAGACGTGTGGAGACTTTTTATTTTGGAGGGGAAAGGGAGGGTTGGAAAGGTGAGGATTTTTTTAGACATTTAGAGTGAGATGTAGATTTCTATCAGATTCGCTCATTGTTGGAACTTTTGAAGTGTAATCCTTCCATCCCATAATTCAAATGTACATACTTCTGAATTGTGTCTAGGAATGTTAAAACTCCAGCTTCGGAAAGCCCATTTTTTAACTTTTGGCGAGTAGATCTGTTTAAATCTGTACTTATTTCACAGCAAATGTGTTCTTCTTTTGAGAAACAGTAACAGGTTATCTCCGTTTGATCCAAAATTAGGAGCACACTACTGTTCACTAGTTGTTTTCCTCCGATTAAAACTAAGAGCATCCATCGTAATCTGAAAATATAAAAATAATATATCAGATTCATTTCAAATAGCAATTGGATTATTCTCTCTCTCTGAAACGGCAACTTCATATTCTGCCGTACCTTATTTGTCTTCTCTTTCTAAAATTGCATTGCAGCATCAAAGCCCTGCTCCATTTTCTCCACTCGTTGTTCTCTCCGGGAAGAAACATTATCGATCGATATCAAAGAAATGAAGATTGATTGGGTTCATGAATTGTAGTCAACAAGTAGCACGATGTATGTTATCAAAGTTTAATGTTACGCAAATCGTTTGGCGGTCAGTATTTGGAATCCTTATGAAAAATTGATGGCACTAGACTAGAGTCGGGGACACAAATGTGAAGTATGTGTGCGTGCCCCATGGATTGGAGATTCAAAAGCTGTCCTCCTCTACTGATTGAAGATTCAAAAGTTGTCCTCTAAAAGAGGAGTTGGCATGACGTTGCTATAATTCATTCAGTGCGTTTCATCCCTCTACCAATCAAATAAACTTTGATACTATGTTCATATGAGTCCCCATTCCAAAATTCATCTTAGAGATCTATTTTTGGATTAAAAAAATTTTAGGGGTTGATAATCTATGGTGAACATAAATATTAAAAAATTTGATTTTGATAGGACCACCATCGATCAATGGATGCGAGTTGCGTCAATATATGCAAATGTATAAGTGAACTGCGTCCATGCTACACTTTTCAACAAAATTTAGTAGTTATCAAACTGGTATTTCTTTTTAAAAAATATAAAACTCGTATAATTTGATATTCAAATCAAACGTATATATTTTCTATTTTATGCTTGCTTCCCACTTCTTGTTTTTTTCAATCCCGAGGTTCTTAACATCTACCGTCTAAATTAGAGTCCGTTCAAACATTCAATGATAAAAAACTTGGTTTGGACTGGAGAGACGGCGGATTAGTTAGGAGGGGAAAAGCCAAAGTTACCCGGGTGTGTTACAAGTAGCAGATTCTCGTTTCTTATTCTCTCTCAGCCATTGTTCACAAAAACGGCCGATCTAACCGCTAACCGCCCGGTTAGATTGGAACCAGCTAGTGGCCAGTGCCGATTTTGGGCGGTTAGGGTGATCAACCGATATTTTTTAAATAAATAAATAAATAAATTGTATATAAATTCTCAAAAATAAAGAATTTGATTGGTAATGCATTTTTAAATATTCTTTACATTATGGTAAAGATTAAAAATTATTTGGTCATTAATACTCACTTTTATATTTTTGCATCTTTTTTAGAAAAATTTAAAAATAGTTTTTGAAAAATATAAAATATTTTTTTTTCATTAATTTTCAACTTCATTTGAATGTGTTTTGTTTTAATCATTCTTTATATACTTTTCATATTTTAATAGATTTTTTTTGTATTTTTTATTTATTTTTTTCAACACTTTTTTGACTGAGGGACTTGCCGCTTTCAGGTCTATGTCCGGTTAACCATTCCGATTCGATTTTGTGAACACTGCTCTCAACCTTTTTCCTTTTTTTCCATAGAGAGAATAATAAACCAATTTTAACTTTAGAGGGAGAGTAATAAACCATTTTCACTAGAGTTACATACGAAGCAAAGGGTAAAGGAAAGAAATGTATCATTGGTATCATTTGGATACTGAAATGAGGCAAAGGGAAAGGACAAAGCATAGAATGAACTGTAAACATAGCAGAGGATGATAAAAAGACGAATCAAAGTGAATAGTAAAAAGAGAGAAAAATTCATTGATCCATAAACTTAAACGGAACAACTCTCTAAGCGGGAGGAAAGTTTTAATTAGGAAAAAGAAATGTATATAATGAGAACATTTATATTTGATGTAAGGAGTCACAATCATTAGTGACCGTCAGATTTGAAATTGGGTGTTTATGCACAGAGTCAAAAACAAGATTTCTCATATATTGGATGTCAAAGATCAAGTATATAATAATTTTTTTCTTTTTTTTTCAATTCTTCTCTTTTCTTCACGATCTAAATCACTCATAAGAACTCCCCTTACAATATAACAACTTCAAATAAAGTAAAAGAAAATAATACAATAGGATCTCAAGAACTTCAAGTCATTCAAAACCTTTCTTTTACTGACAAAAAAAATATCCAACGGGAATAAAAGACACATTAAATAAATAAATATGGAAGTAATAAAAGAGGGTACTGGAGATTAATTCAATCGAGCTTAATACACCCTATGTCAAGTTTCTTATTTCCAATGGTGCTTGGGATTTTTGATCAGTCTCTTAATTTCTTCTTCTTATGGCAAAACCTAAACAATGCACATGGGTCACAATCTAGAACCACTCACCTAAGCCCTCATTGCTTAGGCTTAATTCAAGCTTCTTGGCTTGATCCTTATGAGAGATAGAAATCAAAAAAAGATGGCGAAAAAGACTAGCCAAGGATGATCTCTTTGCTGTCCACAAAATCACATAATCAAAACCTAGCTTGATTTAGAACCCATGCGAGAGATTCAAGCTTAACCTGGTATAGCTTAGGCGTGCCCCTGTTAGGATAGTTTGTGAGTGAGAGAGATTCTATTTTAGAGAGAGAAGAGAGAGCAAGTAAGAGGTGTAGAGACAATGGAGGAGAATGATCCATTTTATAAATTTTTCATGTATTAGGGTTTGCCATAAAATCGTAAGAGCAAATCTTGATCGTCAATCTAAATAGACTTGTGAGGTGAGAGATGTGAGTCATCAATATACTATAGAATCTGTCTTCCCCTTCCTAAACATATTCCCATCAAATAAGTCAAATAAGAATAATATTTTTTTACTTTTTCTAATAGTAAATATTCATTATTTATCTCAATTAAACTTTCTTGATTTTGAAGATTTTCTAAAAACACATATTTCCACAAAAGAAAAGTCAACTAGCATGATATGCCTCTCACCATATTTAGCAAGAAAAGGCAATCCCTTATGGGTGGGGCATGCCGTGGCCACTCATGGCCCCCACTCAATTATCCCATGTGATTTAAATGGGCCTCCAATAATTATGGAGGGTCCCATAAATTTTAGAAACAATAAAAACTGATTTTTATACTTTTCAAATTTTTTAGTTTATTTAAAACTTTAGAAATTAATTTCTCTTGATTTATAAATCCAAATGACAAAATTAAAATATCAAAATATTCATAAAAATTCAAATAAACATTCTAAAAAATCAAATAACATAAAATTAATTTAATTAATTTAATTTTGATGGGGAATTGGATCCGAATAGGTCTAGGATTTAATCAACGCATAGGAGCACTCCACCTACAACTGTAGACAACGATCCACAGTAGCTTTCTCAAACCGACCCAGCAGCTCTCATGACCCACAGTCTACTGTAAGCACTCATGATTGGATCGCCAAAGTCAATCAATGGGCTAAGAGACGTAATATCAGTTTGTAGATTTCAGGTTCTCCCTTAGAGACAAACCATGATCTGCTAGACCATTATGCAACCGTGACTCCATAGTGCATAAGGGTAATCTCTCGCACATGTATACGTTTCACCCCCAATGATGGATTACTATCTCAGTACGGCTATCTATAAACAAGTCGTGTGATGATACAACGATGATGTTTTAGTCCTATCTCTATAGACTATTCATCACACACAAGAGTCACACAGTCCCTTGGCTCTCATCCGGGCGTACTTCAACCTCATTAAGTGCTAACCTATTAAACCCCCCTCGGCTATATCTCTATGCCCAAGTACCTTGGGTTTTCCAATTCGGTTGGCCTAGTACGTCAAGCCTAATCTGAGTATCGGTAAATTGCATATATCTAGTATAGTCAACAGGAGGACCACAATCCCACTGAGTTTATGATTCATTATATACAATGCTCATACAAGCCCTCAATAGGCCACGTAAACCGAACAGAATGTCACATCTAATGGCTAAAAGTGATTGTGACCTCTTTGTATAAAAATAAACGGTCTCACAGAATACAATCTCATAATAAAAACGTCTAATTATATAATAACTTAAACCAAAGATTCCCTAATCGCCACCTATTGGGGTAAAACTCAATCTAGGGATTATTTTTAGGCGAGGTTGACACCTTAAATGTAGAACAAGGTGCACCTCTAAAATCCTTTAAAAAGATTGTTTTAATATTGAAAAAACATCAAATTGTTCATCTCGATATCGAGATGTATGTTGAAAGAAAAGAGATTGTTTATGTCATGCAATGCATTACTTGGATAGTCAATATTCAAAATTTTCATGAGTTTATATATCAGTTTGATTTGAACCATTTTTAGAGTTTAAAATTTTGTAATTAGGGATACAAAATAGATTCTTGCATCATTTTAAGAAATTTTTATACCAATAGTGCTTCTCATGACAGATTGAAGGTGCACCTCGTAAGTAACTCTTTTGTTTGAACGAAAAAATATGAAGTATGCTCCCGTAGGGGCACAAAATAGGCATTATTGACCAAAAACACATTAAGTAGCACCCCACACGCTACTTACCACAATGTGGATTCCATTCTCACCGCTAACACCACCTCACTCCTACCTTCCAAAAGCTAACTCCTAATCTATTTGGAAAACAAGCAAGAACTGTCTTAACCATTGAATTACCCAAATAAAAAAAAAGCATAACAACACAAGTTTTGATACACCTATAAATCTCTCCTTAACAAAGAAAATTTTAATATATTCATTTTTACCTATCCAAAAAGCATGTGTGTTAGAACATTACACAAACATTTAACGATGGACATTATATAAGAACCAATTACTGTACAATCCAAATCCAATTATTTTGGTTCGGGACCGAACATTTGCAGTGTCCATTTAACTTGGATGACGCACATCTGGCCTCATTATTGAAACAAGAGGCCAATATTAACCTTCACCATTCAAATTAAGAGGACCCTTAAAGCATGTAATAGTAACAGAGAAAGAATATTATGTATGCATATAGGCATAAGCACTTACAAATATTCATAAATAAATTTCTACTTCGTTTATAAGTAGTTACCACTTAAAAGTCTATCAAGCAACTAAGCTGGGCGCAATTGGTTAGTGCTTGATGATCTACAGTGATACGTCTTAAGCTCAATTCTTGCCCTAGGTTCAATTCCCAACAAGTGGAGGCTCACTTTCAAAATGAATTAGTGGGATTATTTTATTTTTATTTTTTCTATAAATCTAAATCACTTAAAATTTTAGGTGTGTATTCTTCTCATCAAGGCGCACCTAATAAAAATATATAAAAAAACATTACAAAAACAAATTATCAAAATACCTCTCAAAACTTTTCGGGGGTATTTTGATCAATTTATTTCATGTAAAATATTTTTTTGATATTTTTCGAAAATTCACCTATTTTTTATAAACACACGCCTAAAATTTCAAGTGATTTAGGTTTTAGAAAAAAAAAAAGCTTTCCAAATACTACCATATATCCATGATCGTCAGATCGGCTCAGATTCAATCTGGACCGTTGG